GGCTGCTCGTTTCCTCGCGGCTTCCTCTGCCTTCTCCACGATCCTCTTTTGTGTGGGGAAGTTTCTTCTCCTGTCCTTGATCCATGCAGCGACCTCAGCTCCTGTTTGAATGCTAATCATCTCTCCCCCGTGCTCGAACGCGAAGCCTCCGCCTTTGAGCTTCTCCGTATACGCGGCTTCTTCGTCAATGTCCTCTTCATCGCTGCTCTCATCAGGAACTGGCTGCTTCGAGAGTCCTAGATTGACCTTGCGCTTCTTGTTGTCCGGTCGCACCACGGGAGGTGGAGGCAGGGAGAAGCCGAAGCTGGGCACCTGAGGAGGTACGGCGGCCTTGGCCCTCGGTGGTTTCGAACTTTGCTGCGGTGGGTTCCGCTGCTGTTGTGAGTTGCTGTTTCGGTCATTCAGTTTTCTCTTCTGACCGGCGTGTTGAGGCGGCGAATACTGAGGGCTCGGTTGGTACTGATGGGATTGTGGAGATGGGGGGAAGGGGACGTTGCCTGTGCTTGTCATATGGTTGGCGTATGCTGCCATCGACTGTACACCGGCCGGTGTCGACATGTATGACATGACCTGGGCGAGAGCGTTGGGGTCGTATTGCTGCTGTGTCGCGCCATATGTTTGAGCGGTGCCGGCGAAGGACGTATTGTTGTAGCCATTCGGGGAGGCGTTGTTGGGCGGCGCATTCGCCTGATGTTGTCCGTTGCCGGCATTGTAACCTCCCCTGTTATTTGCGCCGCCTCTGTTGTTCTGATAGCCTCCTCGCTGGCCTCCTCTGCCGCGCGCATCTCCGCGACCGCGACTCTGCCCATGACCTCCTCTTGGATTGCCTCCAGAGCTATTGAAGCCCCCTCCACGGTTTTGATTGCCGCCTCTGCCGCGACCCCTATCACCGCCTCCTCGGGCAGAGCCGCCCCGTTGACTCGCGTATGGTTGCTCGCTGGATGTAGCCTTCGGCGGCGGTGGTGGCGGAGGAGGAAATCTGAAGGACGACATTACTGTGGTTGAGAAATCGTGTTGCGCGCGAATAAAAGTGCTAAGACATTGGGTATAATAGTTACAAGAAGCGAATGATGGCAGAGTGGAAATCGCGAAAACGCTGGGATGGCTGTTGCAGGACATGCGACGCGCCTCGGGAGTCCGCAAATCCCAAAAGTTCCTTATCGATACTACTAGCGCGGCGCTAGTGGTCACCCAAAGGACTCTCACCATCAACTTCATTGTCTATATCCGCCATGTCCAGGTAGCCACCGATTTTCTGCTCTTAGACCCATGAAGCCTCCAAAGCTGCGATCATGTTCATACTTGTAGGTTGCTCCCAAATCCATTGTCGTCTTCATCGCCTACGCGCTTTCGCGCTGCGCGTCAGAAAATTTGAGCGGATGAGAAAGACATGACTTGGCTATGACTACGCGTACAGCAGTAGCCGTGGATCGCGTCGTGTGGATATTGTGGATCTTGTACTGATTATTGCATAGACCACGATTCAAGACTTGATACAAATCAAGCCGCAGGACTTCGAGAAGCCTAGCGCACAAGCTATCAAAGATGTAGTCAACGACAAGTACAGCAATAGGATCGTTCCTGGCATTGGCCTATGCCTCTGCATGTGGGATCTCATTTCCGCGACCGAGGGTCTGATCGGTCACGGGACTGGGCTTGTCAATGTTAATAGTAGGTATTACTACATCTCTCGTGGAAACGCCGCTTACATGCAGCGCAGTCGAATTCCGTATGACCGTCTTCCGCCCTTTCCGCGGCGAAATCATCTACGGACGGATCAAGTCATCCAACGAAGAAGGCATCATTCTGGACCTGGAATTCACATCGGAAGTCTTCGTTCCCTACCAAAATCTACCAGAGAACTCGTCCTTCTCTAAAGCGGAGATGGTCTGGATCTGGAACTCTGAAGGCACAGAACTTTTCTTCGATAAGGGCGAGCCAGTTCTGTTCAGGGTAGAGCATGAGGAATGGTACGACCAGAGACCGACTATTATTGAAAAGGATGAGAAAGGCGAGATCATCGAAGAGAGACCGACGGCCTGGAAGATCATCGTAGGTTTTCTGAACTTCCAATATCAAAGCATTGCTGACGTGTAACTTAGGGATCAATGGCTCAACCTGGTCTTGGTCCTACTCTATGGTGGGCTGAAGGCGGAGAAGAGGAAGAGGGCGAAGAAGGCGATGTCGACATGGAGGGTGCCGAGGAATGAGTGCCTCCGGACGGCCGCTGCTTGCTATTTTATCTAGTACACTGGAATATGGCAGATTTCACGGCCAATTCTGCTTCGTTGGAATGTCAGCACGAAGCAGAACTCGCTCTCAACCCTTCAGCCACACAGAATTTGACCTTCATTGACGCGTCTAGCCGCTACAGGAATGTTCTGCGTTGGGCAAACATCATCACACAACGCTTTGTAAGCGCAATGCAAGATGTTCCTCGCCAGTGCAGGTGCATTCTAAGCAAACAAAATCGCTTCAAATACCTGCATGCTACGCTGCCCTCGTGTACCCTTCTCAACCACACAACATCCATAACAATATCAACATCAACATGACCAGCAGTGATACAGTCGAGAATAAGATCACCAAGAAAAACGATCCAGATTCCTGGACGGGTTTATTAACGCTCGATCCTGAATCTTATCGCCTCCACGAACTGACACTGCATCCCTACTACGACGACTCAAAAACGCCAGCCGACGATATACTTCAGTCCTGGGGACCTCCCGAAGCCTTCTCTATCCTAACACTATGTGCTGCTATCCAAAAGAAATGCTCTCTCACGGCCTTCAAAGCGTATCTACAAACATACGCGGGAAGTCCTGGGTTTCGAGAGACCTTGATCAACCACGGCTGGCCCCTGTTGTATTATGCGGCTGAACGCAACTCTGTCGAGATGATATCTGTTCTTCAGCAACATGGTGTCAACACTGAAGTCCCTAACAACACGTTTGCCATTCCCTTGCTAGCATACGTAGCTATTCACGGTCAAGCAGAAGCCATCGACACCAGCGAAGTCATGAAGCTTGTGCTTGCCAATGGGGCCAATCCTACGGTCATACCCATGGACATGTGGGTCAAGTTCTTGGAAACGCCCCAAGACGAGCCTGTTGCCGCGATCTCGGTTCCTAAATCTGCCTTGCAGAAGTCAGCATGGTGTACCCCGACGCTCCGGCCTGTTCTAGCTCGGGCCCTGCACCTGACCCATCGATATCTACTGTCCTTGGCTTACAACATAGCACCGCTGCATGCCAGAGCGCGTCAAATCGCCAAAGGAAACAAGATGCTTGAGCTTACTAAGCTTCCATACTTCCTTGTTGGCCAGCGATGTGCGACGAGATTGGTCATGAAGAAGGTCTACTCACACATCGCTCATCGTACCATGAAACCACTGATCATGGCGTTCGCGGGTGCGTCTGGTCACGGGAAGACAGAACTGGCCAGATCGATGGGACAGCTTCTATCCGTGGACACTGTATCGATTGATTGCGCCAGTTGCCGTGACGTTTGGGCACTCTTCGGGTCGACCGCGGGTTGGGACCGGAATGATTACCGGTCGAAGCTCAACAACTTCCTGACTGACCACAGTGGAAAACGATCGGTTGTATTCCTAGACGAGTTTGATAAGACCGATCAAAAGGTCCGGGACGCGCTTCTCGTCATCATGCAAAACGGTAAGTCTCCTACGTCTTTGACGATGCTCGCGCACTATGAGCTAATCTTGAGCAGGTGAGTACGCAGATCGGCGTTCCGACACCGGTGTGGACTGCACACAGACAATATGGATTGTTGCAACGAATTTCGGTGACGACGAAATCAACACGTACTATGCCAAACACATCGAGAGGCTCAGTGAGAAGCAAAAGCACAACCTCGACATCAGACCCCTCCAAGTGAGTCTGGCACAGAAGTACGGTAGCAAGTTCGGGGTAAGTACTTCTCTTTCAGCCACGCGTATCCACTAACCACTCTAGATGCCGTTCACCGGGCGTCTACATCTCTTCGTCCCTTTCCTCCCGTTCTCGCCCTCTGAGTGCGCGGTCGTACTTCACAAGTTCATGCTGGAATACGCTACCAGCATCCGCCAACCGATCGATCACGATCCTAGCGTCATCCGATACATCGGACATTGTAGATTATCACTCGTCGACGACGGCAAGATATGCACCGCCTTGACCGAGAAGTACTACAGTAAGGATCTCGGCGCGCGAAGCTTGGACAACGCTGTTAGGGAGGTCAGGGACGAACTTGCGGACAAGTACAGCGAGACCGACGTCCTTGCCACGGAAGATCTCAACGACGGGCCTCTTCAGACGTTCATCGTGCGTCGATTTCTGATCGCGGATGACGTTTATGAAGTTGGAGTGTTCACGGATGGAACGAGTGGTGAGGAGGAGGCAGATAGTGAAGAAGGCGCAAATGATGAAGACGAGACGAAATGGGGAGACGGTGTTGCCGGATGGAATAAGTGGGATGAAGATGGTTCTCGTTCAGATCGTAGCGAGAATTGAGAGCAGGAAATGAACAATTCCTAGTATTCCATTACGATGTGTCATGCATCCGCGTCCTGGGAGGTAGGGGTTGAATGTAGTAGGCCAATGTTATCAGTCCATGCATATGCTATATGATGATCAACTTGGTCAGCCCGTAAGAACAGATTTCAGCGCAGCCACATGTGAATGATGTGTGAGAGAGAAACAGATGTATAGTGATATTGTCATTTATCGATGCTATCAAGTAGATCCAACATGTGTTTCTGACGTCGCATCCTCGCTGATGATGAATTGGGTGTCGGCTGTGGCGTATGCAATGACGCTGGCCGTTCACGGCTATGGCTTGCCTGGGGCGCGAGTGGAGCGATGCTTGTTGCATTGTTCAAAGATGCAGTGCTGCTCATAGGTGGCCGCAGCCTTGAAGAGACAGAAGACACTGACCACGCTCTACCACTCTCAGCCTGATCTCGTGTGACCAGAGAAGGGTGTGTTCGGGAAGAGACAGAATCAAGCTCGAATCTCGGCGGCGCGATTGACGTTTCGTTGGCGGTAGCGGTCGGCTCGCTGACCGTATGCGAGATGACGGGTCTGCGTATCGGGATAGCCGGTAATTCTGAAGCAAATGTTGTGTTGTATGCTTGGCTCGCAGGCAACTCACAGTTAGTCGTTCGCGAGCTGAGCTGTAGACTATGTCTCGAAGTATGAGCTGGTACGCTACCTGGCAGCTCTACTGCCAGACTCACATCCCCCAACAACTCCGAAAGTATCTCCGTCTTCTTGTCTTGGAAGACATGGGGTCTTGGGACCAGAGTTGGTGCGGTAGGATGGAACGCGTACGGATTCACTGGTCCGTCTGAGTTTGTGCCACTCATGAAGCTGTCGCCTGCCAGTTCTGCGGGCACTTGATGCCTCTCATACGTATAGGCCCATGTGTCTTTTCGGGCTGATGGTACGATATGCGCGTCATCACGTACTTCACTCAGCAATGAATGCGAGCTTCTATGGATCGGCTGATCAATACTAAGATGACGCTTGGTATCTTCGAGCGATGTTTCCGAGCGGGGACTGCGCTGTTCAGCTGATGTATATGTAGGGGGCGGACTGCTTGGTAGGCTGGGAGGCGATTGATATCGCGAGTTGTATGGCTTGTAGTCTCGGTGGTCTGGCATTACTTGCATTTGTCCACATAACGATCGTAGGGTGGACTTCACCGCATCAATGGTCGACGCGTCTTGTGTGTATGGTGCTTCGGTAAAGAACGACTTCTGATTCGCTGGCCACGAAGTGTTGGTAGGGTAAGATGTCGTTCGATTGTTGTCCCCAAAGAAGACCTTCGGTGAGCCATCACCCAGTTGAGCGTGGCCGGTTGATCTTCTGTGCCGCGACACGATGTCATCAAAGTAGGTGGTATCCTGATACGTTGGAAGCGCCCCAGTACTGGGAAGGTCCTCCAAGCGATTAAGGAAGCTGAGTACATTCGACAACTGTTGATGGCATACCATGAGTTCGCTCTTGCGGTCCGCTAGTCGTTCTCGGTCTTTGAGAATGTGTCGAAGTTTCTGAGATTGGTCCAAGACATCGCGATGCTGCTCGACGCTGCCGCAGTCCACCCATCTGCCGATCTCCTCCAAGGCGGAGGTGGTGTTCTCGATACAACTCCGTATCCAAGGGAGTCTTTCGGGTGTGTTTGCGAGTTTTGTCCGTACCGAGCCAACGGCGACCAAACGCTCGACCTCGGACAGGTCGTTACGAACGATTCGTATCGTTCGCAAGAAGACTTCGCTCTCGCTTCCTATGTCTGCGCTACGTATCGCAAGATCAGCGAACTGAAACGCCTTGCTGACACTGGCGGATCTCGTGGGTATACCTGCTACATAGTAAGCTTGCGCTGCGCTCGGATCGTACAGCATACGTACCTATCAGTCCGCTCATATTAGGAGATTCTGACTAGCTCGAATGGTAACGGAGAAGCTCCTCAGTGACGGCTCATGCTCATGTTGAAACGGAGATGCAGGTCGTGAAGAACAAGTTCACGAGCATGGCAGCTGCCGGTGGGCGACTCATAGACCCCCAAGACTCTGTAAGCAGCGAAAGCACCAACAAGGCTGAACCTGCGGGTACTGGAATACCCCTCATGCTGTGTTGCCGTGCTTCGAGAACCGATCTGCAGCTCAATGCTTCTTTCCACGGGCTGAGCTCATGCGCCTGCGCCTAAACATAGGGTCATTGCTCTGCGGGCCATGATGCCGGGCCTATACCAGATAATCGAACCCATCAACCTAAGTATATCTCACGACCGAGTGGCTGCTGCGTGTGTCGCGATGGCGAGTCGCAGATTGGACGGAGCAAAAAGGGACGCTCCTTCTCCGCGCCGGTGGCACTGGCGCTAAGACACATAGGGTTTAGTGCAAAAGCAAGCATCAACTTCGCTCTTCAGCCTCGTCCCTTCCTCCTGTGCGCCTCCGCCCGCACCCATCGCCATGTCCTAGACGCATCTCAGCTGATCAATGGTTGCATTGCACACTGCATAAACTATCGATGAAACGCCATTTTCGCCCCACCACACCTTATTCTCATGCCGCAATCTCCTTTTCCAGCAGCACGCGTGACGGCACCAGCACCTGCCCCTGGTCTCCAATTATCTGTAGCAATGCTGGGAACACTGCCAACCCCCCATGTTCGCTAGAAAATCCGAAACGGAATACTCCGGGCTGTTCAAAGAGTAGAAACGCGAAGTTCGCCGATCGCGCAAGAATCATGTCCAAATTCTTGCGGCGCTGAGCTTCCAAGCCACTCTGCACGAATGACGCCACAACGGCATCCAGGTCTGCAGCCGCACTGGCGAATCTTTGGAATCGCTCTTGCGTATCCTGACCAACTCGACCATGCAGGAGAGCACCAGTCATGGTCTTCCATTTGCTGTACATGGCTGATTGCGCTGAGTTTTGGAGTTAGCTTCCTGTTCCAGGACTCGCAAGGCTGGGATGAACTTACCGGCATTCTTACCGTCCTTTCCAGGAACGGCTGAGGCGAGAGGCGCAAGCTCTCCCGGAAGCAAGCTCTCAGCGCGTTCTCCGGTGCATCTCGAGAGCACACTCCAGGCGACAATTAGGCGAAGCGTTTCCACTCGGGTTGAGATATTGAAGAGCATACTTGCAAGTACGGAAGAGCTTGTGCCAGTTGCAATTGCCAGCTCCTTGATATTTGCCTGGATGATACTGGTTGCCGGGACAGGAGAGACATGATAAAACTCTCGAACGTGGTTTTTGATGTTGTCTCGTATCTTCAAGGCTGCGTCGGTGATGGTATCATCTGATGCAGGCTGAGGCAGCATGTCGTCGATATTCGAAGCATAAGCGCTGGTAGCGACAGTCGGGCCTTTCTCCACGTGCCCAGCAGCGCCATGATTGTGGGCATGAGACGGTAGATGAGTCGATGCTGGATTGTAACGCTTCTGTTTCTGACGGCGTAACAGGAAAAAGAACACGACTCCAGCTATCAACAAGCCGACGAGAAACATTCCAATAGCCACTCCGGCCACCGTACCTCCAGACAGTCCGGCGGTTGCTCGTTGCGTGTCCGGGGAAGGGTTGCCGCTTGCAATCGTACCATTGCTGCTCGGTGATGGACTAGCAGTTTTGGATATGACAACGGACTGAGATTGGCTTGCTTCTTCACTGCGTGAGCCAGTTTCCAGCGCTGCGCTTGAGGAACAATTTGGGGCACAGTCAGTTTGATTCGTAGCCGGATCTGGGATTATAGTTCCGGCAGGTGTCTGCACCGTACTCGGGTCACCGACTGGTGGTGGTGGCGGTGGTGCTGAAGTCGCTGGATCTGGGACTGCTGTAGCAGCCGGTTCTGTTACTGCAGGTGTGGAAGTTGTTGATGTCACAGACACTTGCGGAGTCTCTCCGAGTTGCCTCCACACGAATTTCATATTGGCGCCAAAACCCTCGAGAATTAACAAGTGATCGGGAATAAGAAGGAAGCGAGACAGTGTTCTCTGATCGAGCTCGCGATGCCGTGATATAGGCTGTTCATACCTCGATTCGCTAGCTCAGCCCGATCAGAAATATGCAGGCTTCAGCTGTACAACAGTAACGCAGGCTGCGAAGCTCTGACCACTTGATTTATTCGCCGGAATTGGTAAATGTTGGCGAGGCTGATACTAGCAACATGGTCTTGAACTCTATGGTGTGGGGTCCGAATGCATTGTTGCCGAACGGTCATCAGCACGAGCCCGTGTGGCTTGTCACTACTTCATATCCGTCTGTCACACCGAATGAACATCGCGTAACACCGCCGCAAATAAATTGGCATCGCAGCAGACCCCACGTAGTACTTTTTTTTGGGAGCGGTCTCGACTTGTCGGCAAGAATGAAGTGTGAGGCTGAGCCAAGGATGGCTTTCCAGTGACCGGACAGGGAAGACCGGCATACCTCAGCCTTGTCACTTCTTGCACCTGGATTTCATACATGACAAGCATCAGTACGTGTTGTTGAAACCACGCGAAGCTGTAGTGTCCGTGTTATTACTACGTGATAGAAATTGCTCATCATTTTAACACACGCTTTCATCATGGAACTTCCACAATCTCGACCAGATTTAGTTGTATCCATCGATTTTGGAATGACATGTAGGTTGCGACTTGTGAGTCGGCAAGATCTCAGCGCTCATAGGTTTTACAGGTACTGGTGTCGCATACTGCAACGTAGCGACTGGGTCTGATAATGTACGGCACATTCAACGCTGGCCCGGACGAACGCAAGCGAATGAGAACAAAGTAAGATATTCGACGGTATACCACGAAACACAAGCTAAATTCGTGCAGGTACCGACGTTACTTGTATACCCACAGAACTCCGAAGCGCCATCATCGTGGGGATTTCTTGCTGAAACTGCACAAGAGAGCAGTGGTGCAGGCCACGAGAGTAGGGAATGGTTCAAGATCATGCTCGACGAGGACCTACTGGAACAAATGAGATCCAGGTCTAGTGAGCCATCGAAAGTACCACGTATCCAAGAAGTAGAGAAATGGTAAGTCCGGTACTCGAAGTCGGTCGGGTAGTTAGCTAACGGTTTTCCAGGTACACGGATTACTTCAGCTACCTCTACCGTACGATCGAAGCACGACTACGAGGCGAGCTTGCGAGCCGATGGGAAGACGCGAACATCGAGTTCATCTTCTCGGTACCTACAACATGGAAGCCTATACCCACTGTGAAACGATTCAGGAAGACGATCTCCGCAGCTGGTTTTGGGTCGTGCGCCAACCACACAGCATCAATAGGGCTGACGGAAGCTGAGGCGGCTGCGGTGCATACAGCGCGTAGTATGCCTGGTATCTTCAAGGTGAGTCGCCTAGCAAATCATGATACTCTTGCGCAGACTGTAACATTGCCAACAGGAGAACGAGTTACTCTTCGTATGCGACGTAGGTGGAGGTACAACGGTGAGAAAGCATCGTAGTGCCGCCTCATGGCTAGTTCGCTGAGTGTTATAGGACCTATCGGTTTTTCGAGTGAAGAACACTCAAGGTGGCTCTCTTACTCTCGAACAGATTGATGTTGTATTCGGTAAGATTCTCGCAGCATTACATCCGTGCTATACTGACTCCACGGAGGTGCCACTATCGGAGCCGCACAACTCGACAGTCTATACGAAAAAGAGGTGCTACAGCGATTGGAGCATGCCGACCGACTTCAGCCAATGGGACTTCAGGACATACATCAGGCGGCATGGGAAATGCGAATCTCGAAGGAATACCAAAAGTTAGTTTGCATCATCGAAGAGAGCGATGACATTCTTACTGACCGCTCAGTGCAAAATGTGATTACGGCTCGGAAGAGTCTTTGATGGATACCGAGACGTTTGCGGTGCGGGTACCCAAACTGGACAAGGCTTACAACAACCGAGAATGCGCTATTAGCGCCGGCGACATGTACTTTCAGCGGTTAGACTTACACATGAGACCTACTCGCGGTATTCTTAACTGACACCTCTGTAGCGACGATTTGAAAGGCTTTTTCGACACTCAGGTATCTAAGCTTTTCGAAATGATGGACAAACAGCTCGCTCGTGTACAGCAAAAGTTTCCATCCGAACAAGTGGTACGTCAACTTACATGTCACGCTATAATGTCACCGTCTCACCCAGTTCAGTCTCATCTCGTCCTGTCCGGAGGTCTCGGCAACTCCGCATACGTTCAAAACTGTCTACGAAGCCGATACGCATTCGGCAGCACGCCACACTCCAACGCACAGCATATGCAGATCCGCATCGCACCCGACCCGCAACTCGTGGTCTGCAAAGGCAACGTGGCCGACCGTATTCAGAAGCTCAAGACCGGTCAATCGGTGCTCGGGTGGCGATGTAGCCGTGCATCATACGGAACGATGTGTAAGATGCTGTACGACCCGTTCAACCTTGCGCATTTTGGGTTGAGGACGGAATTTGATCCTTTGGATAAGAAGGAATACGTCATGGACTGTATCGACTGGTTTATCAAGCAGGTAAGCGCACTCTATGGGTACAATATGATAACAAGACGCTGACTGTGTCAGGGCGAGCCAGTCTCGAGCGACTTCCCCATAGTAAAGAACTTTCAACGAAAGTGCCCACCAGCCTCGTCCAAGTACCCCAACCCACCGAGAATCTACCCCACGGAAGTAATATGCACAGAAGTCGACAAGTCTGAACTTCCAACAGTGAAAAATAACGGTAGGTGTACATCCCCGACATGATGAAATGAAATACTAACATCCTCAGCCTGTCGCTCAATCTGCAAGATCGAATCCGACTTCTCATCCCTCCCACTTTCCCTCTTCAAGCTCAAAAACCGACACTGGTGGAACTCCGGCCCGAAATACCATCGCATCAACTACGTCGTCAAAGTGAACCTCGGGCCCGCTGATGTATCCTTCGAACTGTGGCATAACGGTGTCAAGCTTTCAAAAGACAACTCCATCAAGGTTGAATGGCAAGCGAGTGCGCCGCCTGACCCGAATGCGACAACAATTGCGCCGGACTTCCCAATGAACAGTTTGCCGGCGGTATCGAGTTATGATGCAGCGCATCGCCGTACGGTGAGGTCGGTTGGGGATGGTGGCGGTAGGCTTGGGACGAGTTGGGGGAATTGGGAGAACAAGACTGGTGTCAGATCTCAAGTGATGGCTGCGTCGCAGAATGGGTCCAGGGTGTGGTAGGAAACAGTATTGTTCGCCTCCATGCGCATCGTGGATGGGTTCACTGAGATTCAACTCCTCGTACGCAGGTTGCGGTTTTCGCGCGTTTGTCGTTCCCGGAGCCGTGTGTTGATCATGTTTCCGTTTCTGTAGCGAAGTCGACCAGCGCCTAAAACCGCAGGAACATGGTGTTCCAAGCATACAACATGTTTATCGCAGAGTCTGCAACGTGCCTCTCAAACCTCGCTCATCCATCATGAGATCTATCCAAATCACGGCATCGCACAACAGGAAAAGTACCGCAACCGCCATGAACATAACCATCAGAATGGCGAAAAATACGCCAAAGGCGTAAAATAGCTGGCCGACTTTTTCTTCAATAGCAAACGGCGGATCGAACAGCTGGCACCGACATATAGGACATAAATGTCCACCTGGAGATTTAACGAGCTCGGCAAGACAGTCTCGGCCCATAACGTGGTTGCAGGGAAGAAAGAGCATCCCGGCGTGAGTAGCGTTGTCATAGGGTTCCCAACAGAGGCAGCATGTGTTGTCGTTGAATGTGTCAGTCGGTACCGCCGGGAAGGTCCGCCAATTCAAGAATTCGTCTCTGGAGACGTAAAGGCCGAGGAAATTTTCGAACATGGCTGGTGTTTAGTTGGGTGGTAGGTCTGTAGAGTTCGTTTAGTACAGCACGGGATGCAAGGGCGTGTTAAGTATAGGTGAGCGGTGGGCAACCACGGATGAGGATGATGTTGGAATTGGTTGGTGCCATCAAATCAGTTTTCCACGCTGGACGAATGAGAAGAGAGCTCTTTGCGCATATTGGACAACGGAGTGGTAGAACCAAGGAACATGATTACGATAAAGAGTATTAATTTACCTCAACGCGTAGAAGTACGCTTATTGCTGGTGGATGCCCATAAACGACGCTTAAACAATCTCGTACCTCTGCCGCTCCAAACCAACCCACCTTTGATCGGAGGTGGGCTTAAAAAATCGACGGATTGTAGACGGTCCCTCCGTATAGCAAAGCTATTACGATCTGAGCAAAGCAAAAGCGAACCAATATAACCGAGAATACGGTGGTTGAGAAGATGACACGGTCGCGCCGACTCAATAGTCCAAGGTCCATGCAACCCACGGGTACGCTAATTGCGATGGCGCAGAGAAACAGCACTGGAAGCTTCTGCCACTGCCATGGCGTCTGAAAAATCTCGTCTACTAGGTAGAAAATGCTGGTCTTCACCGCCTCGGCTCTGGAACGTCCCGATGAAATCATGAGATGAACATAGAGGGCTTGAACGATCGCGTAATTCCGCATCCCCAGTTCCAGCTGGGATTGCAAGAGCGGGTTCCTCGGATATATGTTGGTAAGCCGCTGTAAGACGAAGTCGATCTGGTAGCACACGTTCGACATGTAGAACCAGGAGTTGACGGCCTTGATTGGAAACCTGATCCAGGCCGGAAGTCTATACCAGAACGGTTGGAGTGTGTACCAGAATGCCTGGAGTCGACTGAAGGCGAAAATTGCCCAAATTTGCAGACGCATAAAGTTGTCCAGAAGGATACGCCAGAGGAAAACTTGAGTAGGAGGCTGAAACCATACTGCTCGGCAGATGGGACATTTGTCTCCATTCGGGGCGTCGATCATGTCTTCGAGGCAGACGTCTCCGAATACGTGATCGCAAGGCTGCACACGAACAGCGCGATGGTCTTCGTCGTATGGACCCCAACCTAAGAATATTAGTACATAGTTACATATCAAGATAGGTGGAAGTACTTACAGAACGTGCACTTGTCTTCGTAGTATTTGTCTTGGTCGCTAGCGCGGACGACATTCTTCTCCAGGAAGGTCTTCTTCGTAACACCGAATAGCTTTTCGAACATGGTTGTTGTTTAGGTTGTGTGGTGAGTTTGGGAAGCTGTTGTATGGGCCACGCGATTTTAAATAGTCGTGCAGATATGTCAGTTCACTCCAATGTAAACCAAAAAGGTTTGAAGGGCAGGGTGCATTGTGCAATAACTCAAGTGGTTGGAGAGTGAAAGATGAGGTGAAATTGAGAGAGCATCCACTCGTAATTACTGCGGTGACCCAGAGGCGACGAGCCAACCACACATCCCGCATTTCGTACGACTTATACGCAAGGAGCTCTTCTGCGAAGGAGAAGTATCGCATCCCTAAGAACTTTGGTCGTAATTGCTGTGTACCAGTACAGTTAGTAAAGCGAGAGGTGACCATTGGAAATGTGTGAAGTGGCTGGTGTGGGCGCCACATCAAGCCATCTACATCAATGGACCAGAACCCGTAGTATCCTTCGGCATTTTCAAACTCGGACGAATGACCAAAGAAAAGAGATGACTAGAAATCATGGTCGGTAGGCACGGAGGAAAGACGCGGGCAGTCTCCACGTGGATCCGCGTCACGGGCGCAGTTTAGCCGAGCACTAGCGCGCCGGCGCGCCAGCTACAAAACCCCGCCAAAAACTATTTCCTTGCTCCTCCAACGGCCTGCCTCGCCAACGCTGCGTTTCTTTGCACACCCACAGACACTCTTTCGAGAGCACGTCCTACCCTGCAAATGAGAAATTCGGAGTAATCTTCACTTTTTATCACGCCCACTTGTGGGCTGTACTGCTCGTAAGAGCCTGGCGTGACTCACGTCTGCATCCGGCATCAGAAAACTCAGGGCGCCAGAAAGCGCGACTTCTTGCTTCGGCGGGAGGGAGCGTGGAACTGGTGGCCCTATGGGAGTCGGTGCGAAGATTGTGTGCTTTGATCCTTCGGGTGAGAGGTGACACTGTAGTACAATACGCAGCGTACTTGACCTTGAGTAGCCCTTTGGGCGAAAGAGGGCACGGTATCATTCGATTCTGATTACTCTGGCGAGGCAGGCCGTTCACCTTTTTTTCCTATGTAAGTGCGCTTTGCGCTGACTCCTCTGGTTCGGGGATACTGCTAATAAAACTTCATGCGAATCCAACGAAACAAAGCCCTACGACTACTGCGCGGATTTCCTCTTATCTTCTTCCTAGAGCGCCTCCTCCTGCGGCTCCGATACCACGTCCTTCTCCAGCGCATACATGATGTCTGTCCGCAACGTATACTTAGTTCCCTTCACAACGTCATCGCCCGAGTGAATAAGGAAGCGATGCTGGAAGAGCAGGACGCGTCCGGCCTTTGGCACGACGTCTATGCGGCTCTTCATACTGCTGTTGAAGAATGTAGTGGCGCCACCCTCGAGCTGATTCTCTCCGCTCTTTGATACCGCGTCATTGAGATAGAGATGCAGGGTGAAATAAGAGCGCTCGGTGCCGTCGGGCGTTTCGTAGGTCCCATCGCAATGCGCTGATCTAGTCAGCAACTATAGTCGCACCATGCAATGCAATACATACGTTTGAAATACTCCCCACCGATGTACTTGAGATAGCGTCCGCGTTCATTGAGTCTGGTCACCTTCCACGTCTCGCCCCGTCTCGCTGGGCCGTTGCCTGTGACGTCGACCCAGTTGTGCAATCGATGGATTTCTGGCACCGACGCCTCTATCCTCGCCCATAGCTTGGCCATGATCTCTTTGTTGTCCCAGATAATGCGCCCACACTTTCTCGTGTCCTCATACATAGCCTGCATGCCTCCACCAACGTTGACCAGAGCCCTTTCCCACTTGCCGTTTGTGGTCGCCTCGGCTGCTTGCACTAAAGTGTTGCACTCGTCTTCGGAGAGGACACCATCAAGTATGACAGCCCATGACTTTTCGTCTTCTAACAGGCCAGCCTTTTTAAAATCAATTTTGGACCTGGTCAAATTGGGCGCTGGGCCTTCGAGGAAACCATTGGGCAGTGTAAATGTGGAGGGTGGAGGGCTGGGCTGGACGGATGTCCGACCTTCGTGGGTGCGAAGCAGGTCCTCCTTCAAGTCCGCGGGTAAGGTTCTGGTAGCTGCCATTGTTGATAGATATCGCCCTGAAACTCGGAATGTGCGCAAAGGAAGCATGTCCTGAAATGAATTTTTGAATCAATGCGGACTATAAAGGCTGCGCCGGGCTGTGAAACCAGCTGACTGCTGCCTGGAAGCCGTCGATCCATACGAGAGACATGGAGGCCACAAGGCGTCTATCGTGCATTTCCTGCATATCGCCCACAAGGAACGCGTGAAAGCCCTCAGGAGCGACTTCCTGCTCATCTTATGCCTTGGTCGCCCTGGAAGAAACAAGCAGTAGCTCCATGACGCGGGTCCCTGGCGTGGCCGCGGGACGATGATCGGCGAAAAGAAAGCACAGTAGCTGGACAAATGACTTCTAGAGAGACGGCCGTCGCCTTCTGCGCTGTGTTCTCAACGTTTCACCTACCATGGGTGACAGCTGCCTTGTTACCTGTCCAGGTGTTGCTGGGTGCTGGGGTGGCAGGGACTGTCACGTGGAAAGGCAGTAGCTATTCGCGGCCCTTCTCGACCCTCACAGCCTCGCGTTTCAGGCACACGGGCTGCATCCGGGCTGCATCATCATCGTCACCGCGCACAACTGATCCACCAGCTCATCCACAGGACGCGAGTCGGACGCAGCACAGTGAAGGCAGTTTCATGTGACCGTTGCTTCTTATCGACACCAGCGCCGTCGTGCAGTGCGCGACCAAGCCCATCGCAAGCCACTGCCGCTGCCTCCCTGCTCCGCCAACCGTCGCGCCAAGCTAGAGGTGCCGACTTCACTCCTAATTTCCCGCTGCCACGCCAGCTTCACGACGCTCCGAGGCGCTGACGCGACGCCGCAAAGCTCAATTCCCCGCGACCTGACCACCGTCGCCCATTTCCCACCGTCTATCAACACGTCGTCCCTGGCGTTGCGACCGGCCGGACCACCACGCTCGCCGCCGTTCGCTCAGCAACCACAGCACTAGTAACGCAAACACACCGCCCGCCGCCAGCCCACGCCAGACCCTGCGTCTATCGTCTATCGTCTATCGATACCTGCCATTCTTCACCCACCAGCGACGATCGTCGCGCGCCTCTCGTTAACATCACATCTCCCGACTCACCGCAGTCATGTCGCACCCCCAGGATGCCGGCTCTCCGGTGCCTCCAGCTCACCGCAATCGATTCCCAACGCTCTTCGAAGTCCTCAGTAGGACAACTAGGCCACCGCTGGATCTCTTCTCCTTCTACATCTACATGCGCGACCAGCAGCGCTCTGTCGACTACTTGGACTTCTGGTAAGACAATCCCATGTCCAGGCTCTCGGACCTTGCTGACCACCGACAGGCTTGATGTGTCGCAACATCTGCAGCTATGCAGGCTTTACGTCCGACGGTTACATAGGAGCATGATAGAAGAAACTCCTGATCTCGAGAAAAACAGTAGGCGTTCGTCCTATATGTTAAACAACGCTGGAGAAGGCCCTTCTAACGAGAAAGGTGACAATCTGTCTGACCAGCGCTTGTCCGCCTTTCTTCGTTCCGACCGCGGCAGCCGCAACCACTCGCCACAAAACAGTCAGGGTAGCAATCAAAGCCGAGAGTTCCCGCGTCCAAGCCTGAACTTACTAGACACTCCGGGTGATTCGAGCTCACCCGGCCAGAACTCGTCCACTGATAACACTCAGCCCAGCAGAGAGGACCTGCGCGCGTCGGCAGAGAAGATTCTGTACACGTACTTGCTCCCCGGGTCCGAGCGGGAAATAATAATTCCCCAGAGTATCCTGACCGAGGTTCAAGAGGCCATAGAAGGGCCAGAGCAGCGTGCGGATCCCGAGCTCTTTGACAGTGCCAAAGACTACGTCTTCCAAGCCATGGAGCGCGACGCATACCCAGGTTTCTTGCAGAACAAGGGCCTCGGCAACCTTGTGCCCCAGAGCATGATGCTCCGTCTCATAGTAGGACTGATCAGCTTCTTTGCGGCCATGTGGACGTCGTTCATTCTTATATTCCTTGACAAGTCAAGAAGCACGCGCTGCTGGGTATGTGACCTTTCAGTTGTACGATGAAAAATCAACTAACGTTCAATGCAGATCATCCTCCCATTCACTATCGCCATCTACCTCATCTTCACGCACCAGTACATGCTTGACCCAATCCTCGCCCTGGCTGGATTCAGCGAGTACACCTTCTTCGACTTCAACCGCATCAGGGAGCCATTCGTCAAGAAAACGCTGAACCGGCGCTCCATCACTGTCATGGTCATGTTCCTGGCTGTCACGGTAGCCGTCTGCTGTCTCTTCATCTTCGTTCCAGGCAAGCGCCTGTAAGCCAGTGCAGCTGCATGGCTTGTTTTGATACCACATGTAATGTTTGTTTATTCTTGGCGTTGTCAGAATGCGAAGCGCGGAGGGAATCAAGACCAGCGGGGACATGGAGAAGATACCCCCTCGCTTCGTCGCCATCCGACCTCCAGCAGGCTTTCCTTTGTTTTTGAACCGATGCTTGGATCGGCCATGTTCTGGTAATGGACGGCTGTTCTCTTTCTAGAGCATGGTGTTCAGGCGTTCTCTGTGAGACGATCAATAGCGAGTTCAACTGAGATATAACCCCCATCAATTGATATTCATCTATAGCAGTGCCTAGATGCCATGTGAAAGTAGTCAAGCGTGAGATGTATGCACCCCTGATTGACGTTTGGCGAGCCGTTAGGTGTGGAGTTGGTGCATGCACGCCAAGGCGCAATGACGTGAACCGCGGCCGGCTTTCACAACGTCGACGTGCCCTCTACGTCCATTGTCGGCAGAGTACGCGCATCGCCAGTCGCGCTCTGTATAGCTCTATCGGAACCACTGCCAGCACTCTATAGCCCAACGCTCTGATCTTCCAATCGCTTGCAATCGCGACATCCGGCGTGCCAAACCTTCTTGCAGCTACAGGCACTAGCGGAGTGGATAGCAGCAACCAGCAAAATGAGCGGGCCAA